TTTCTACTTGATTTAAGTTTTTTTGGATGCTTTCTACTTGGATATTATGTTCTGTTTTAAGAAATCTTACCAAGTCTCATTTGCTTGCTGCACTGGCAGATTATTTTGCTCAAAATAAGCAATTATTCATTTAAAACACTATATTTTTTTCTTATTTTTTAGAAGGCATTTTTTGCTGTGCAGTGGCGGTTCTAGACTAAATGTACCACGGGGCCAGGAGGGGGCCAGCGTGTTTTCCAGGGGGGCACAGAAAACCATGAAATAAAAAGCAGGACAAGGGGTTAAAATATATTAAGAGAGCTGCATGAAGTGACATTTCTTTTCAATTAGGTTTAATTAAAATCTTATCTCTTATTAGGTCAATAAACTTTCATAATTTAGTAATTTTACATATGTTTGACTTAATTTAAGTTAAAATGACCATTGTCTATAAAATCAGAATAACAAATCAAGAAAAATAAATTAATTAAGCTGTCAAAATTAGAGCATTTTTTTAAGTTTGTTTTGAAAACAAGTGAAAACTGGGATCCTATCACAATACCGCTGAAGCTATCACCTTATTGTTTTTAAAAAAATAAGAAAAAAAAAATTGGAAAAGAAAAAAAAAATTAATAAATCCAAAGGACCTGTCAGTAACCATGTATATTCCAGTGCATCATAAGAATTTCTTTGAGTATTATGTCTTCAGTGCAGGGGCCAGGACTTGATCTACAGGGGCACTGGCCCCCCTTTGGCCCCTGTCTAGAACCGCCCATGTTGTAGCCGCCTCTCGCCCATTGACAGCTGGAGATAGGCACCAGCACCCCTCGCGACCCCAGCAGGGATAAGCATGTCAGAAAATGGATGGATGGATGGTAATTGTTCTAAATAATAAGCCCTTCTACAAAATAAAGTGTAAAATTACTGTTAAAAAAAGTCCTTTAAAAATTGTCCAAATTATAAAGTTGGGATAATATTTAATCAGGTTATTCTGATAAGAAATAGTTTAAATACAAATACAGTTTTGAAGCACTATATCATTTAACTTTGCATTCAGTCTTCTTCAGTATAAAACTTCAAGAATGTAATTCCTACGTTCAAATTACTTTGCTTCTAATATTACATATAATTCAAGCTGAATAAATAAATAACAGTTGTGTTTTCAAATGAAGTTGGAGAGATAATCCAACCAACTTGGCCAACATTTGAAAAAGTGATTTTTAATTAAATATCATTGGTCAATGGGTGAACTCTGATTCTTTTTTTGCGTCTTTTTTCTTTTTCCAGCATCACAGGAGATTTTTCCTACATGTATAACATATTTTCTGTTGTAGTTTTCTCTATTCATAACTGGTGAACCACAGAGATTTTCCTTCAGGATGTCCTGGTAAGGGGCACACTGCAAAAAATTTAAATCTAGCTAAGTCATTTTTTATTAAAATAAGTGCATTTGTTCTTGAATTGAGGAGGTAAAAGAGACATTTTGCCAATGGAACAAGAGAATTTACACTTAAAATAAGAAAACACAATTGCATTGTCTTATTTCAAGTGCATTTTATCT